TTAACCTCTTGCCGTCCGCCCGTAGTAAAAAAACGGACGGACGGCACTGCAGCATCTGCAATTTTTTTCTGCTCGCGCGCGCCCCCTAGCGGGCAGGCACGGGCAGAAAAGACCCGCTAAATGCACACACCCGATACCGGGTGTTTCACATATAGGCGATTGGCGGGTCCATAGCCTGCCGCTCGTCTATATGTGCTCGTTCGCGGCACCACCCCCCCACCTTCAATACTTTTTCCCAGTTTTTTTTGCTAAAATTAGGTACCTCGGCTTATATTCGGGACGGCTTATACTCGAGTATATACGGTACTCATGTAAATGTCACTGTCAATGTCCGACAGAGATTGTCCCCTGCTGCAATCTGCTACAGAGCTACAGTATAGAATCTGAGTGATCACATGCATGTGTGTTTTGGGGGGTGGTGGGGCTGAAGAAATGCTTCCTCTTTCCTACAGCAGCCTGATGACATCTCAGCCTAAGCAAAGTCCCTTTGAGAACAAAACCAAAGAGCATATCTGTAAAGTCACATATAATAAAGCTACTTGTCCATAAATCTGTATTGTCACAAGAAAAAAGTGGGAAAATAGTATAATTCAAAAAAGAAGGTTCCCCAAACAAAGAAATCCCTATATTGGAGCTGATCAGGTAAACAGGTGACACAAAATGGTAATGTATAAAAAAATATATTTAATGACAAGAAAAATACCCACACATCTCCGGGTGTGGGTCACTGACAGAGAATGTGAGCTCATACATAGACCATTTCCTTAAGCCTCATGTAGAGTCCTTGGCTTCATACGTTAGAGACACCCCGCATTTGATATCCTTGATTCAAGATCTTGAGGTACCTCCAGATACCCACTTGGTAGGCTTGGATGTCGAGGCCCTGTACTCTTCTATTCCACATTCCAAGGGACTGAAGATGACCGAAAGGTTTCTGGACACCTTGGGAACTACAGAACATATGCATAATGCTTTTTTGTTGCGACTTTTGGAATTTGTGCTGACCCACAATGCTTTCCTCTTTAATAGTCAGTACTATTTACAAAAACAGGGCACGGCTATGGGGACCAAATGTGCACCCTCCTACGCTAACCTATACCTGGGCGGTTGGGAGCAGGAACTCTGGGCCAGAGAGGACTTATCTATGTACCTGTGCCATGTACTGTCATGGCACAGGTACATAGATGATATCCTGATGCTCTGGACGGGGGGAGAGCATCTTCTGAGGGACTTTGTTGATATCCTCAACTTCAATGTATATAATCTAAGGTTCACCCTGACATTCGATCATAGCAGACTCCCCTTTTTGGACATACTGGTGTGTAAGGATGTTGGAGGGGTCCTGTATACCAGCCTGTACAGGAAGGACACGGCTGGTAATGCTATCCTTGAGGCAAGTAGTGCCCACCCCCAATGCCTGAAGAATAGCATCCCTTTTGGCCAATATTTGAGAGTTAGGAGGAATTGTACCATCGATACCGATTTTGAAAGGGAGGCTCAGAAGTTGAGGATTAGGCTAAAAGCAAGAGGCTACCCCAATAAGATATTGAAGAAATCGTATCAAAGAGCTAATGGAAGATCCAGAATGTTCAAACATGGGAATAAAAACACATTTAAGTCCAATCCTACCAAAAACAAAAATGATGAAATAGACCCCCGGGTGAGATTAATTCTGACCTTCAATAACCAGCATAGGGAAATATCAAAGGTTCTTGACAAACACTGGCACTGCCTAACTAAGGACTCTAGAATCTCAAAATTCTTAGGCACCAAACCCACTATCACCTACCGACGTTGCCCCTCCCTAAAGGATAAACTCACGACAAGTGACTTTGTCAATAAGAGTGACACCTGTTGTAAATACCGAGGTACCTTCCAGTGTCAGAGGTGCAAATTCTGTCGGTTTGTCCATACGGGAACAGAAATAACCACCCCTTTGGGGAAACGGATTAAGGTTCGCCACTTTGTCAACTGTGAGACAAAGGGAGTGATCTACCTGATGTTATGCAAATGTGACATGTTTTACGTTGGTAAAACGAAACGCATGTTTAAGAACAGGATCTCGGATCATTTGGCCGACATATCGGCCAGAGATCTGAGATCACCCATAGTTAGACACTTTGTGAATACGCATAATGGACAGACTGA